ATCAAAATTAATCATTTTAATGTATTATTGAAAAGGGAAAAATAACTTGAGCACGATGACCATTCTTGCTGTGCCACTGGCAAACAACACAACTGAAGCACTGGTTAAAATGGCTGTCACAAATAGCAACAAGGATATTACCTATGCACAAAATGAAAGGCCAAATTTCTTCTCCTGTAAATTCCAGAAATCTGTTATTCATTAAAAAAATAAATAACCAAATGAAATCCACAAATGCCCTTTATTTTATCATTGTAAAAGTGATTTTTCATTCCTGGCACGTAGCAGCATGAACTCAAATATGTAACTCATGAAAATTAGGGTTGTTTCTTAAAAAATTCTATTCAGCTCTGCTGGTTATGAGTTAGTATTTGTCAAATAGTTTTTAGCTTAAGTGAAAAGGCAACGATAAACAACCACCAGAACTGCTAGATGCACTATCCCTTTGCTGGGTTTCATGACATGCCTCTTTGGCAAATCTGGACCCCTGGAGTAATCAGTGTGAATATGAAAATGAGTGCATTATTTCACTGTTAACAGTCACTGCTAAGATGAAAGAGAAGGCATGGAGACCTACTGATGTTTTTATTTTTTTTCTGCAATGATTAACTGAATAAAAAACAGCATAGTCAAGGTACTAGAAATATAGAGCTTAATCATAGAGTTTTAGAACTTCCTATTTCAAATGCATGCAGTTTATGAGAAGTGCTACAATGTCAACCCACAGCTCAAATAAGATGTCATACTTGACCTTCACTTTACTAATAGGAAAACTGAGGTTCACAGATGTAAATAATAAAAAAATAAACACACAAAAAAGAGTTCTTAGTCAGATAATGAAGGCATGGTAGGTAACAGCCACCGGGATCTCAAGTGTTTGAGGATGCATCTCATCCGCAAAATAGGTACTATCATAATCCCCTTTTCACAGATAAAGGAATTGAGATTGTTAAGTAACTGGCCCAGGGTCACAGAGCTTTTAAATTGCAGAGTCAACACTTGCAAGGTCTACCTCTGTGCTTCAATCTGATACCAGAGAGTGCAGAATGCTTTCAATAGTGCTATTGCCTATGGCCATAGTTACTGTTCAAGCAGTTCACAATTGCAATTTTGACAAAGAAAAAGCATCGAACAGCTGTTCATTCACCTTAAGCCAATGCTTTTACATGTTGCAGCTGATTTAGACCATGGGTAGAGAAACTGGGTTTGGTTCCAGGTGTCACAGCTTTCTGAAAGCATCATCCATAATCTCCATCTATGATTTATCAGCTTTTTGTCCTATATTTAGGAATCAAATGGGGGATAACAGAATAACTTGTCTTTAGACTCACCAGGAAATGTCTTGAGAGTTTACCACTATGGTTTGGTTTGTTTCCTTTTTTAGTTCTTAAAGAACACTTTGAAAAGATCATTTAAAATGCAGGTCCCAGTCTCCAACCTAAGTGATTCTGATTCTATGAGTATGAGGTAGAGTCCAGGAATCTCAATATTTGAAACTCCAAAACCAAATGTAATGGTTCCTTGACCACTACTCTCTACCTGCTTCTTGGAGGCAACCACTTTTGACTCTTAATATTTTATCTGGCATTTTTACATCTCTGTAATTCCCCAGTGCAATCAAGATAAATTACAAAGTGTCAGGGGTCTCCTAATCCACATCTCAAATTGCCCCTGGTGTTTCACATTCGATATCAAGCAAGTATTTGTTATGAACCCACTAGAGGAAGAAAAAGAACATGTATTCAGTCTTTACTATGTGCAAGGTCTTAACATGCAACATCTGATCATTGACTACTTTCTAGCACCTTGCAAAGTAGGTATTTCCCTAGTCACAGGTGTTCAAGGGGGTGGAGGTCAGATTTGAATCCAATCTAGTTTGGGTGAAAACTTAATGCTCGTTTCAGGAAAGCACAGTGGTAGCATCTAGATTCTCTGTCCTCAAAGAGCTTCCTACTTTGGGGAGGTTGGAGGGTGGAAGTGGGGAAGAGAGTATAAAATAGGGAGAAATCTTAGGAGGAACTGTATAATACAATTCATTCCACCTATGTTTACTGATTATCTTTTCCAATCCAGGTCCAATGCTAGGCACTGGAGATGCTATATGAATGGTTATCTTTCTTCCTTCTGTCCCTTCTCCCCTACCCGCTTGCTGCAGAGAAGGCAGAATGAGAAAATATCAGTAAAGACATTGAGGAATTGCTGATGAAAGATGTGGGCCCCAGAGCTGAGGATCAGACAGTAAAACTCCTAGGAGGCCGATAAGCCTGGAAAGACTCCAAGTTATGTACCAGTAGATAGTGAACCAATCAAAGACTGCCAAATGAACTTGGATGACAATCAGAAAGCCTCTCTCCACTTCCCCTTCAAAAATCCCACGGTAATAGAAAAACCCCATCCTAAAAGAATACTCATCAATCAAAGATTGTCTTAATAGTCTCTCCTTATCTCTATTAAACAAACACTTCTTTCAAATCCCTTCTAGTCTCATTTGGAAGGAAAGTGATAGTAGCCAACTCCCTTAGCGTAGTAATGTCTGAATAAACAGTCTTTGATGAATTCTATAGGTGGTCTTCCTCCTTTTGGCAAAAAGTTCAGAGCTCTCACCAAAGTTTAAATGTTCACTCTCAAATGTTAACAAGAGACTTAGCACTATCCCAGCAGACCCAGTAGGGGTAATGATGAACAATATGGAAACTAAATCCAGTCTTGTCAAGAGGAGGGTGTTAAGGAGAGTGGTTAGAGTTCAGCTTTGGGGAATTCGATCACAAGCTGTGTCACCCTTGGCAAGTTACATGACCTTTGTGGCCCAATTTTCTCTCTGGCAAAATAGGAATAACACTAGGACCCCCTTTGCAGGGCTTCTGTGAAGAGTAAATGACTGAAAACAGAGGCAGCAGAGTATATGTATCAGGAAAGAGCATAGGTTTGCCACTGAACGAAAAAGAATCCACAAGTCCATTCTGATACAAATGAATAAAAGAATTCATTGATGAATGGTGTTAAAATGAACTAAATATGGCCAGAGAGGGACTCAGTACTTCTCAGTACTATTTGAGTCCTGGTGGACCAGCTACAGCCTAGCTTAATAGGTAGACAAGATTGAAAAACTAACTTAGAAGTATGTGTCTAAAACAATAGCTTAGTCTTGGCCAATCCCAGTGGCCATACTTCAACTATTCATACATTGCTGAGTGTTCACAATGTGTAAGGCAAAGGCCAAGCTGTAACTAATCCAGCCGTTCTGTACTTCACTTCTGATTTCTGTACGACATTTCCCTTTCTTTTCTTCTTTCTTCTTTTTTTTTTTTTTTGTCTATACATCATCTTCCACCACATGCCTGCACTGGAGTCTCTATGAATCTGCTGTGATTCTGGGGGCTGCTCGATTCGAGAATCGTTCATTGCTCAATTAAACTCCCTTAAATTTAATTCAGCTGAAGATTTTATTTCATCAGTGGAGATGATGGAGAGGCAGTGAAGTCTTTCTCAGAGTAGAATACAAACTAATAAACGTAGGGTGCATTTAGACAATTGCCAACTTGCCACCATCATGGGAATAATTGATTTAATCAATCGTCATCGCCATCAAAAGATGCTAAATCTAGTGGGTAAACTTGTCTTAAAATAGACTAGAAATTATATTGAAATAAAAATCCTCAGCCCTCTGCTTCCCAAAGAGAGAGGTTAAGAAAGAAGTTAGTAGCAACAGCTGTCTACTTCTGTTAAATTGTACCGTTTTTCATGATCATTTATACTCAAGAACGAGTAAGGTTAAAAAACATAAAACAGGGCTGAATTTGGGGGTGGGTGGAAGGGATGTGAATCTCATCTCTTATCAGAACTGCCACCTCTGGCAAGTTGCTTAACCTCTGTGTATCTCAGTTTTCTCTTTTGCAAAATGGAGATAGTACACTTGTACCCACTTAAAAGGTTGCAATGAAGATTAAACAAATTTATATTTGTCCAGGCTTGGCAGATATTCAGTAACTTTGCTCTTGTTTTTATTACATGTGCAGTGCTTAGACTCGTGTAAACTCTGTGAAAGGGAAATAATCCTGGGATCCCCACATCACTCAGATAAAAGGAAAAGTTAAGGTGGGAATTGCTTAGGGTAAACCTGCCTCCCATTCTATTCAAAGTCATACCTCTGCTCACAGACATGGATGCACAGCTGATTGCCTCCTTTGGAAAGGCTAACCAGAAACACGAAAGCATGCAACCCTGTCTCTTATCTGCCTATTACCTGGAAGTCCCTATCTGCTTCCAGTTGTCTACTTTTCTGGACCAAACCAATATACATCTTACATATATTGATTGATGTTTCATATCTCCCTAAAATGTATAAAACCAAGCTGTGTACCCGACCACCTAGGGCACATGTCGTTAGGACCTCCTGAGGCTGTGCCACAGGAACGTGTCCTTAACTTTGGCAAAATAAACTTCTTAAATTGACTGAGACTCGAGTCAGGTATTTGTGGTTCACAACTCCAAGTGAATGTCACTGTTATCATTCTGATTACTGGGCTTAAAATCCTCCAACAGCTTTACATTGATCTTAGGTTAAGGACAGAACAAAACACCCACAACTCCCTAAGGGATGGAGAGCCTCTGCCAACCTCTCCTTGACCCAGCTGAGGCCCTGGGCTGCAGGCTCCGCACCTCTATTCCTTGAAGTCTCAGCTCCAACCTCACTTTCCCAGACAGGCCTCCGTGACCCCGGGACTAGATCAAGGGTCTCTGCGGAGGGCGTCAGCTCCGTGGGCCACCCTTCCAGCACCCACTGCCATGGCGAATATTCGCTTGTTTGGCCACCCAGGGATTGTTTCAGACGCACGACCGCAGGGCTTGGGCTCTGTCTTTGCTCGGGACCGTAAACCAGGAACTGCACAGTAGGCCCTGAGACCTTGGGACTGCTCAAAGCGAACCAGGGCCGGGTGAGGGGCCCAGGGCCGGGTGAGGTACCCAGGGCCGGGTGAGGGGCCCAGGGCTGGGGGACGTACCTGTAGGGCTCTGCGGCCTCAGGAACGCCCACGACCCGGGAACCCAGGGGGCCGGCCTGGCCCGCCTCTGCCTCCTCCTCCTCCTCCTCTGTCCGTCGGCTCCTCCCCACCCCCCGCCGCTCCTCCTCCGCCTCCCTCCCCGGCCGCACTGCCCCCGCGGCTGCCCCGTGCCGCGTTTCCTGTTGAAGATGGCGTCCCCCGCGGCAGCGCGGGCCGGGAAGCTTCTGCGAGTCCTAGCGCTGCGGTCCCGCTTCCTGGCGGCCGCGTCCCAGGTGAGCGTGGCCCGGCGGCGGTAGCTGCGGGCGCTGACTGCGGCGGGAGCTGCCCCGGGCTCCCCTCGGCCCCCGCTGCGCCTGCTCCCCGCCCGGCCCCGTGCGCGGCTCCTCGGGCGCCCCACTTCGGGGGGCGACGCGGCGCCTCGCCCGGGAGCAGGGGGCCCCCCAGCTCTAGCGTAGCGCGGGGGCGGCTCGGGGGCGGCCTCGGGTGGCCTCGGGATGTGAGCTGCCAAACGCGCGGGAGGCGCCGCCGACCGACCCCATGCTGACTGCGCTGAAGCGGGCGCCGGGTGCAAGTTTAAGAAAAGTTTCTCGGACCAGGTTTTGGAGCCCTGAGGTTTTATTGTCAGTCCTAATTCTGCTTTTCAAACGTCTCGCAGTAACCCTGAGCACATTTAGGCCACGTGATAAACATGGCTAGAAACCCATTTCATGCCAACTAGGAACTCACCCCCGAGGGTGAACTTCCTGCAGGCTACCTGCTTTTGCAGACTTTTAAGACGCCTGAGTTGGTTAAATGCACGGGTCAAGGAGAGAAATGGGAAACGATCTTTCTCATCTTTTCAGTGAAAAATCAAGCCTATCACCAAAACGCATTAGATCATTGACCCTGTCCATGTCATCCTTGTTGATGGAGAATGAAACCAAAGAGGTTCAGTGGTGGGTGCTGGATAGGGATTGGAACTTGGACTCTAGGAGATTTTTATCTTCTGTAGAGGGCAAGCGTTACAGTAGTCAGCCTTCAGGGACTGCTTAGTCTCCATAGCTTCTCTCTCTCCCCTTTTAAAAGAAAGCACAGTCTGGGATTCAGCCACAGCAGAGTTGATGACCTTGCCTATTTCCCCATTTTTAATTGATGAGAGGCAAATTATCACTCACGCAATTTTAACCAGGATGTGCGTAGTATAGTTTTTAAGAACATTTTTTAAAAATGCGATTAATGATTTTTTTGAGTTACTCTAAGCTTTGGTTAATTATGACATCTGTGAGCTGTGTTTCCCCTCTTTCATTTCCTGCCTTCCCATTTCTCTGTTATTGTTAATGTAAATTTAAAAGGTGCTGATACTTACTACTGTAATATTCTTAATAGATGCTTGACAGTATAGTAAGGTAGAAAAGGAATGGCAGTTTTGTCTAATTAAAACTCAGTAATTACTGTTGTGATAGAGTAAAGAGAATACCTCCAGGTGATTAAGCCCTATTCATTATTTAAGTGATGGAAAAAGCAAGAACTCGGGTGCTAACCATGTGTGTAGACTTTAATTGATGAGAAACATGGGGCCCAGGGCAGTGAAAACTCATGAATTGTACAGAGAAACCTAAAATGCAGAGTGTTTAGCTCAATATGTGAAGCCTTCTTGCCTAACCAAGAAATGAGAGGCTGAACACAACACAATAAAAATCTGATTGGGTAGAGAGATACTCTTGGTTTGTCAAGAATACTGGGTAAAAAGATCTGTTAGCTCACGCCATCTGACTACTATGATTTACATACTTGTGGATGATGCGTTATTCTGTAACATCTTAGAAGACACAAATGAGTTTTTTAAAACATAGAAATGTATACAGTGTCCAAGAACTGGAAATGGACGTTAGCAATCATCTAGTCCAGCTAGAGAAATTGAGGCCTAAAGAAGTTCAATAACATATTCAAGGTTACAGTGAGAATTTGTGGCATTCCAGAGTAAAGGCTTACCCTTACGTTACTGTTACACCAGGCTGTTTCCTGGTGAGTGTATGCTTCCTCATGAAAACATATTATATTAACTTGCAAATTAATCTGCATACTGGTAGTAACTATATAACATCCAAGTCATTAGCACCACTGACACATTTTAATTTTTTTCTTTATGATAATCTTAGAATTGGCCACAAAAATAGGTGAGTATTGCCATGACTTGTAAGAAACTTTGTTTTCAAATTCTTGGGTGCTTCCTGTGATCTGTTTCATGTAAACTGATTTGATATTATGCCTCCATAGTCCCTTGCCCATGGCAGACATTACAATTAAACATGGCCCACTTCTTTCACCGTACTTAAGAAGCCTCACTAACTGTCTGAGAAATCTGTCACCACTCTTGGCCCAGACCTACTTTATACCACCAGGCCTTGTGAAAAACTGTTGTCTGTACAGAAATAAAAGACCCAGTTTCTACTTAGAGAAATAACTTTCACTGGTCTCTCAAAGATACCCATAGAATGACATTTTATCTACCCCCTCCCTGTAGTTAAGTTTAACATTTGACACATATTCCTGATGCATCGTGTTTCTGAAGTTTTTTAAATTTTATTTTAACCTTTGCTCTTAACTTTACTGTTTTGACTTTTGACTGATAAAGGGTCCACTTTAGTCGTTTCTTATTTTTCATTTAGTTTTTATTCAGCCGGTACCATTTGGTAGGACTGTTGTAGGCTCTGGGATTTGAGAGTGGTGAACAAGGCAGGCAGAGTCTTTGGCCTTGTGATACTTTATTATTATTATTTTTGGGACAGAGTGTCACTCTTGTTGTCCAAGCTGGAGTGCAGTGGCATGATCTCGGCTTACTACAGCCTCTACCTCCTGGGTTCAAGTGATTCTCCTGCTTCAGCCTCTCAAGTAGCTGGGGTTACAGGCGTGTGCCACCAAGAGAGTGAGCCGGTATACATGTAACCAATAATGAAAATGATTTCAGCCAGTGACAAATTCTGTGAAGAAAATCAGTCAGGGTCATGGGATGGAGAATGAATAACTTCACAGCAGGGTAGCTGGATGTGAAGAAGAGACCTATTTAGGCTGGGTGATCAGAAGAAACCTATCTGACATGCTGTTTTTTTTTTTTTTTTTTTTTGGCAGAATTTTTTATACTGAAATATAAGACATACCAAAAAATGTACTTTAAAAAATGAACTAAATTGGTAAATTTTTATAAACTGAATGCACATCCAGCTAACTAGGTACAGATCAAGAAATTAATCATTTTACAAAACCCAGAGGCCCCCTGCTGCTCCTGCCTGTCACTATCTCCACCCTATAAAGGTTAACTGGTCACCTGACTTATAACACTAGTTTTGTTCATTTTTGTACTTTATGTAAGTGGAATTATACATATGCATAGACATACTTGATGTTGCTCAGCATTATATGTAAGTGATCCTGGAGATGGCCTTTTTGACACTGGAGCTGAGACCTGAGTGATGAAAGATAGCCAGCCTGGTGAGACTAAGGGGAAGAGTGTATCAGGCAGAGCACACAGCAAGTGCAAAGGCCCCAAGATGAGAATGAGATGGGCATGTCAAGGTAATTAAAGAGGGGGAAGGTGGTAACAGACAAGGTCTGAGAGGAAGACAAGGGCCAAATCACATGGAGACCTGCAGGGTCTGGTAAGGAGTTTTCAGGATTTTAAACCCTACAGAGGCTGAATCCCAGTCCTGGCAGCTGAAGCCCAGGCATGTAATTAATGTCCTATACATACCCCCTATTATAAATCTAGGTTAGTCTTGCTTTGAAACTTTTAGCAGACTGGTGTTCAGTGAATTTAGCAGTAAGAATCTAACCATTGTTAGAAGTCTTCCCAAAGATCTAAATCCTGGTAGACAGGGGACATATTGCTGTGTCCACATAGCCAAGTGAACAGAGTGTGCCGTACTTGGTGGTATAATATAGCAAGCAAGTCCCCATGGTGGGCACAGAGATGAGTGCTGCCAGTCAAGTCTTAGGGGAAATGTTGGCTGAGGGCACTGAGTTTAAAATGGTTCTTTGTAAGTCTAAGCACAGTATTGTTGTCTTTTAGGGCAGGCGTCCCCAAACTATGGCCTGCAGGCCCCATGCCCCCTGAGGCCATTTATCTGGCCCCCCGCCGCACTTCAGGAAGGGGCTCCTCTTTCATTGGTGGTCAGTGAGAGGAGCACAGTATGTGGCGGCCCTCCAACGGTCTGAGGGACAGTGAACTGCCCCTGTGTAAAAAGTTTGGGGACCCCTGCTTAGGGCATTTCCCCTCTTCATGGCTAGGTGAAGTTCATGGAGCATGCTTGTAGGAGAAGCACTGCCTCTCAGGCCTCCAGTTTTATTTTACCTTTTTTTGAGAGACAGTCTCACTCTTTCACTCAGGCTGCAGTGCAGTGGCACGATCTTGGCTCACTACCACCTTCGCCTCCTCGGTGTAAGCGATTCTCCTGCCTCAGCCTCCTGAGTAGCTGGGACTACAGATGCATGCCACCATGCCTGGATGATTTTTGTGTTTTTAGTAGAGATGGGGTTTCACCAAGTTGGCCAGGTTGGTCTCAAACTCCTGAGCTCAAGTTATCTGCCCACCTGGGCCTCCCAAAGTGTTGGGATTATAGACATGAGCCACTGTGCCTGGCCAGGCCTCTAATTTTAGAATCATTGTTGTGTGTTTTCTATGCAGCGCAGAGCTTCTGTCCAGGAACTTGTAGAGGAATGTACGTTGTCAAAGGAAACTGCTTAAACCCATGCCCCTGCTGTTGTAAACTCAAAGAATGGCTCCTGCTTAATTTTCTGCTTTTATGGAAGTGGGAGGAGAAAGATGGATGCATGGCTTTTCTAAGTGAAGGACTAAAGGTTATGTGCAAGTTCTTATCAGCTAAATGAGGCTGGGGCGGCTCTATTGGAAGTTGTGACTTACCTGTATCTGCCTCTTGCCTAGGAGAATAAATATCTGACTTTTTTCTTTTTTTTTAAAATGAAGTACAGCTACAATTTTTGCTTTTAGAAAAGAGAATCCATCTCAAATAATTTAGATGCTAAACTATTGACCTTTGTTGTGGGGAAGACTGTTAAGTGATAGCTTGTGTCCCAAATTGGTTTTGTTTACCGTAAATGAGCCATTTCTTTTATGGGTGAGTGAGTGAGTACGCAGACCCAAAGTAGTGAGAACTTTCCTGCCCTTGTACCCTGGTCTAGTTCTGCAGGCACAAAGCCAAGAAAGTCACTGAAATACGGCATATTTGGGGGACGAAAAGAAATTACATAAGTGACCTCAGATCATTTGTCCTTCAAC